TACTTTTTGTTAGGTTCTAAAAAAGAGAGCAGCTTTGGTGCTACTTGAATCTATTATCTAACCTTTGTGTGACTAAAGGTAAAACTAAAACCATGGTTACATTCACAGCATTTTTTTTAGAGGGTCCACAGGTTTGATCTAATTTAGTCCTTTTGATGAATTTGAGGCTATCCCTTTCTCTTGGTTCAGACACTGATGGCCTTGGATATCTATATGCTTTAGTCGGCACATGGTCCTCCTCAAATGTATCACCACCCAATGACTTTTTCCTTAAAGATCTAGAGTTAACTACCCATTTTATGTTTGTCACAAAATCAACCATGTGAGGATCATTGATCTTTTTGTGCAAGATAAGATGAGTACTCATATCCAATGTAACTAGGATAAGGGCCCAAATGCATGTACATATTTCACATATGTACTCTTCTAAAGACTCTTTGTACTCACCTCTCTATAGCATAACTAGAGTGCCAACGCTTATGCCATTGAACAGATACTGTCAATAGGACCAGGAAGTTAATATGATACCCTTTGTTTTGGGGGCCAAAAAGTATATGATGCTCAGGATGAAATTTAAAGTGCAGTTTCATTATAATTCTCGTATCTGATATAGTGTTGCTAACCATTTTATATATCATTATAAATATACGTTCTCATAAAATTATTGGACTATCATTAGCATTCACAGGGATCTTTAGTCAAACCTTCTGCAAATGCTAACGTGAAACCATTAATCAAAACTTAGACCCTTTATTTAGTTTCACATTGTAACAACATCTATATGTGTATTTGTGTGCGAAAAATCCGAGGCAACACATAGCGTTCCTCAGGAATAAGAAATAAGCTTCAGAAAAGGAGGAAAAAGAAAAAGAGGTAATGCACATGAAACACTCGAACAATAGGGGAACCTACAAGATATTTGCCATATGTGAACAGAACCATGTTCCCTTGAGAAGTATAGGCATTCCGTTGGTTTCATCATTAAATGCGCTTATTGACGCAATTATGCTCAAATAAGGAACCTCCACTTGCATCTGGAATCATGGGTTCTTAATTTTAATAATACAATGATTAGAGCATCTTAGCAACTGTTCGAATATCCCAAATCTGACAATTATATTCTTAATTAGGGGCTTTGGGGTTTGGAGCGTGCCAATGCACAAGCTCCTAACTACTTATGCTAATTAAACTAGAACAAAAATCATGGGTGTCCACACATCTTGGGTTTTTGTGCGCGCATACATGCACTTGAATGTATTGTGAACTCCCATAGAAAACAGGTTTACTGACTCACCCAGGCTTCAAAACCAGTGTTTGCCATAGAATCCCATCTTGTCTTGGATATATTTTATATAATTACATCAAAATGGGACCTGTTGTCTCAAAAATAACCGCAAGTTTGCTTTCTATGAGTAGGTGAAGAAAGTTCCTATGAGACTGGCGCTCCCATAGAAATCAAAGGACAAAGAACTAAATGATGTCAAGGAGATAGAAAAATACGCTAAACACGTACCTCTCATCCTGCTGCTTATGGTTAACATTTTCTCCTTGCTGAGCTTTCCTCATAGCAACAATAACAACCTATGGTTAAAGTTCCCTGGAACATCGGTGCTTAATATTTTTTAGAATGAACAGGTGGATGACAAGCCCCATTCCATTTTTCTCTAATACAAGTTTAACGGGGCAGACCAAAAATTAAAAAAAAAGTACATAGGAAACAAACACAAGTAGACACATCTACATTAAGAGAACACTGCAAAGAAAGATGACAAAAGGACCTATTGACAGCAAGGAAATAGCGAATAAAATACCATGGTCCGATTGGTCAGATACTGGTCCTCAGTCTCCATGTCAGTATCCTCCTCTTTATGCCTATTCCTCCCTTGAAAACCATCATGGAATCATGTAACAAGCCTTCATCCTTGTTGAGATAGTAAAGCAAATTGTCCATTCTTTCTCTATATGCGCCTGATATACTGGAACACCATAGCCATGCATTAGTAATGCAGATATACAAACCCAAGAGCTACAAGATACCAAATTATTGGAAATTCTATCACTACGTTCTCGCCAAATAAACTAAGATATCGTGGTACACGCTAGACGTAATACTCCAAATGACTCTGGAATCCTTGTGCATGTAACCGCTGCCAAGGTGACCAACAGCATACAAAGAAGGTAGTTGTGTTACTTCACAAATGTACATGAATGCCTTGCAAATATCGTTGCTAAGTTGACACAAAAACACGAGGCGATCAATTGAATCCTCATCATCCCCAGACAAGAGGCAAATGTTAGGATCGACACAAAAACACGAGGCGATCAATTGAATCCTCATCATCCCCAGACAAGAGGCAAATGTTAGGATCCTGCCACATATGTTTTCTTAAGTTATTCCAAGTAAGAATAGCGCTTTGTTTTGTTGTTAACCATATGAAAGCTCTTAAGAAGTTACTTTTATCATATGTTGCTATGCTTCATACAATGACAAAAGGGGAGGCTTTTCAATGAGGCGCCTGGGATCAATTTTGCAGCAAAAAATCAACATGCTTAATGTCAAAAGTGAATTACAAAAATGAATCAGAAGCAAAAAAGAAAAAAGAACCAGTTATTCTTCTCCGGCTATCAAATCCTTCACTTCAACATGTAAGTGTCATTTTACATAGATATACATATCATCTCAGACCCAGTTCATACAAGGATTGCTGGCAATAAAGAAATCACACTTGCTTAAAAAGAAAACACACTTTTACTAGCTTTACTATGACAATAATGGAGTGCAATTTATTGTAGGAGCACGTAACCCATTCATATCAAAAGTAAGGTTTTCTTAGCTACTGATCAGTCCATAACTAGTGTTCTTTGTTGACAAACTCGAAAGCTTTCGTACTAGCATGATTTAGGTGCTGGTCAGTCCACAAATTGTGCTCTTTGTTGATGAACTCAGCAGCTTTCCTGTCTATACTTCGTACAGCAACAAATCTTTGGCCCCTGCCTTCATTGCTCACTTGAGCCATGCTCGAATGCTTCTCATCGGCTCCAAACTCATCACCGCCTCCCTGTTGCTCCTTCTTGAAAAATGAATGCAACAATTTCCTTCCAATTCCCATTTCTTATTCCTCTGCTTTGTTGCCTACCTTTACTTCTACTCTCAGTTCCAAGTTTCAAAGGGACGTAAGAGCTTATCTTGGTTTATGAGAAAGAAATAAGCCTGTATTTATACAAGACCACCCCCCCCGCCCCCCCCCCCCCCCCAGGGCGTATAGAAAGGATTCGGATCGAATTGATTTCAAAGTTCAAGCTGTTGAATTCTGAGTTGGAAAGATAGAGCTGAACCAGAAAGATTAGGAGGCATTCCACTTCAATACTTCCGAAATGGAATACACTTCTAACTGAGTCTCCTCCAAACATTTTTATCTAGAAATGGAATATACTTCCGAAATGTTGGACTTAGAAGCTTATCTTTTTCCTCCTCCTTTCCTTCTTGCTTTACATTAATTTCATAATGTAAGTATGACTACATATATGACTACCTCAACTCAGCGATTCAAAAATTTAAAGTTTAGTCAACTTAGACGGTGAACAAGCCAAATTGATTACTACACTTAAGCTTCACACGTAATTACGGTCTAGTAAAGCCCAAATTACAAAGCCGCAGTGATAGTCGAGGAACAACATGTGGGATAAGTTTGGACATTATCTCCATGTCAAATGTCAATCTTAATTTGTTGATAATGTACTTTAGAACAAATCAATCATACTCCTAGAGATTCCTCTCTCTTTTAAGGTCCACATATCTTCTTTAAATGCATATCTCAAAGCTTTAGCTAATCTTTGGTTGTGGTAGTGATTCTGACCAGAGATATTTGGTCATCTCGTACAATCATAAAGTAGATTCCATGCATGCCCATGATTAAAACGGGGAAAAGATTGGTCGAAAATAGAGTCGTGGGCCTCTTTTTGAATGAGTGGTTATGGTATGCTGCCTACCTCTACCCTAAATTTTGCTCCAAATACCTCCCACCTTCTACAATGCTTTGTGTCTGCCATTACAGTTTCATCTATCCTCTGTAAAAAAAAAAAGACAATGTATGCTTAGCATTTCTTGTAAAATATTTATATAGAAAGGCTCTATTACCGTAAATCTGAGCCTCCGTGTTAGGTCTCACAAGGTATACTTAGAGCAATTAAAAATCGTTACAGTTTTTGTTAACGGGTAATGTCTTGTAACAAAGAGGTGACACCATGGTAAAGTTAACGATTGATAAGGGGTATATCGGATTATGCATTGCATGTGATGGTATGCCCTTGACCGGATCTTTCCCAATTAGTTGGTGTTGTTCGTAAGTATATGGCAAATCCTAGCAAACAACACTGACAAGCTTGTCAGCCGCTCTTTGTTGACAAAGGACAGTTAGACACCGAAAGTTGTCGTTTTTTTGAGAAAAATAAAAAAAGTGATGGGTCCCACAGGGTCCCGCTAATAAAATATTATTAGTGACGGGTCCCACCAATAATATTTTATTAGTATATAGTATTTTCCCAAACACTATAAATAGGGCCCTAAACTCTTAAGGAAATCTCATCCAAGAAACAACTCCTCTCATAGAAGAGTAAGAGAGAAAACACAGAGAGAGATTGTGAGAGTTCTTGGAGTGTTAAGAGAGAAAACACAGAGAGAGATTGTGAGAGTTCTTGGAGTGTATCTGATCAAGAGAGGGTGTTCTCTTTGATCGAGAGAGATTGTGAGAGTTCTTGGAGTGTATCTGATCAAGAGAGGGTGTTCTCTTTGATCTATTCTTTTAGGATATAAAAGAATTTGACGTCATCGTTACACCGCGGAGTAGCTCCGAAGGAGTGAACCACGTATATCTGTGAGTACTGTGATTGATTTTTATACATTTATTTAGTGTATTACGTCTCCGTTCGAGGCGTTATTATTGGTGTGTACCCTAACAACCAGAGCCTGATTTAAAGTATATATATCTGCTTATCATATGCTCTGTGGTTGCCACTAAAAGTAAATCCTTCACATCAGAAAATAAGTTAGATTATTATTTACTCTTTTAAGGTACTGGGCATTATTCACGAATACGATACTATTCACAAATACGGTTCGAGAAAGACGTAATCTTTCTTCATAGGATCTACAGTTAAAGACAACAGGCTTAGAATTAAGAAATTCGGCGGTCAAAATTTTAGGTATTGGAGGATACAAATAGAAGACTATTTGTACCAAAAGGATCTCCTCCTACCCCTCCAATGAGAGACGGGGAAACCTGAGAAAATAGACGATGATAAGTGAAAGGTGCTCGATCGTAAAACACTTGCCACCATCAGGCTCAACCTTCATCAGCATATGACTTACAACGTCTCGCATGCGACCACCATCAAGGAGTTGATGGAGGCCTTGGAGGTGCTAATGAGAAGCTGTCTGCTTCAAATAAGGTATACCTGATGAAGAAGCCGTTCAATCTAAAGATGCAGCAAGGAGCTCGTGTGGCGGACTTCTTGAACGAATTTCAGGCTGTGGTGCAACAGCTTGCTACAGTAGATCTTAAGTTCGACAATGAGATCCAAGCTCTTCAGCTACTTTCCTGTCTACCAGATTCATGGAAGAATATGGTGATGGCGGTGAGCAACGCTAATGGCAATGACAAGATGAAGCTCGACACAGTGGTTGGGGTAATTCTGGATGAAGAATCTCGCTGTAAAGTCTCAGGAACTGAGGCCTCTAGCAGTGGGAGTGCTCTGCATGTCGAGGCACGAGGACGTGCGCAGAAGAAGGGTAGGGAACAACGAGGCCAATCAAAATCCAGAGGGAAGTTTAAAGGGCCAAACTCGAATGGTTACCGTGAAAGAAAGTGCTTCAGATGCAGAAAGAAGGATCACTTTGTACGGGACTGTAGAGTTTCTGTTCCAGCATCAGCAGAGGATGATCGGGCTGATGGTGTAGTCAATCTCATACACGAGACGGATTCGGATGTGCTTCTCCTATTCCTTGAAGACAAAAGTGATGCGTGGGTCATCGACTCTGGCGCATCTTTCCATGCAACCTCATAACAAAAGTTGCATTCATTGTTCGTGAAGGACTTGGGGACAGTCTATCTTGGTGACGATCAACCTTGCAAGGTTTCCGAGAAGAAAAATTATACCCTCAAGATGGAGGGCGGGACCACCTTGATGTTGAACGACGTTCGATATGTACCGGATCTCAGGCAAAATCTTATATCAGTCGGGCAACTGACTGACTCCGGTTATAGAGTATCCTTCGAGCAGAGAAGCTGGAAGGTGTCTAAGGGTGCCCTGGTGGTGGCATATGGCAAACGCGAGGAGTCTCTCTATATCGCCAACGGGAAGATCGACCACTTGCTTGCTGCAGGACAAGCATCATCATCGTCATTCGTCAACTGCATGAGTTGGCATCGACGACTTGGCCACATGAGCGAGAAGGGGATGCAAATTATGGCCGCATGAGAGAGGCTTTCGGGTCTAAACAAGATCGATCTGACTTTCTGTGAGTACTGCATCCTAGGCAAACAAAAGAAGGTGAGCTTCAACAAGACCGGACCGACTCTAAAACTACAGAAATTAGAGTTGGTGCACACTGACATGTTAGGACCTGCGCAAGTCTCATCTGTTAGAAATTCTCTTTACTTTGTCACTTTTATTGATGATGCTACTAGAAAATTATGGATGTTCTTCTTAAAGCACAAGTCAGATGTTTTCATCGTCTTCAAGAAGTGGCTTGTCAGTGTGGAGAACGAAATAGGTAATAAGCTGAAGTGCCTAAAATTTGATAATGGAGGTGAATATTGCAGCCAGGTGAAGGAAATCTCGTGCTTATTACATGCAAAATATGTAGCGGAATACTGTGTATAATTATACTAAGCATGTAGAGAGCATGAAATACATAATAGGACCATCCTAATTAAATCTAACATGATCCCTATATTAAAGAGAACATACAAGAGTT